GCTCAATGATGAGAGTTCTTAAAGAATTTTTGATCGATGAGTTTCATTGTCTTTGTTCATAGCAGTTGCTTCCATTGCTGAAAATTTTAGAATATGGATTTTAGTGTCTAATTTAAGTCTTTGGTCCATTTCTGTGAAATATTATGCCTACTATTAACATTTTGAATTGTTAAGTGGTTCTTTTCATACCCTGTCATCCTTCGAGAGGGGCAGTGTAGTTCTGATGGTTGGCTGATAATGGAGGTAAACTGACTCAAGCTTTCTTCATGCTAGTGAGAGCTTGAGTTTCCATCACAAATATTGCAGAGGACTGTTGAAGTTGAAGGACTGTTTTATTCACAGCAATACAATTGTTTTGTTTAATGTTTCTGTTTTATCATATATTTTGCAAAATGTTGTTATTTCCTTCTAGAGTAGGACTGAAAATTAGTGACTGGACTCACAAGAAATCTTAAGGAGATTGCACTAGCTAATGTTTCATAGCTGCAAGTCTTTAAAGATAACACAAAGAGGGTACTAAGGATGCCAGGAAGGAACACTGCAAAATCAATTTTACAAATGTGCATAACAAATTTACTATCAAAACCTATTTTGTTTCAATATTTTTTCAGTCTCCCCTGCCAATTCTTATAGTTTTGTGTAGGCTTCAAAGTTTGTGTTGACTTCTCCATGAGATGTTCGTCTTTGTAATTAGACCATTAGTTACAGTGATGAGGCAGATTCCACTCCAAGGTGTACAAATAGGAAATTTTAATCCAAAACAATGAAATGCATTTTTTGAGATAGAAGCATATTTATAAAGTTTCCCTGTTAGATGTGGTACCTCTGTGAACATAGAATTTCTACAAAATCTGTATTCCTTACTTTGGCGTTGCTGCAGCAGGATATCACAGCTGCTGCATTAGTTTATAAGGGCAGATATAAAAGATTTCCTGAAGTCTGCTCAGCAATTTGTCAGAGTTTATCAAAACGTATTTGAATGTCAGTGATCTGTGTGCTTTCATTGCAGGAAGGGAGCAAAGGGGAAAGCCAGAAATTAGACTTGTTTTACTTGTTATAGGATCTAATTGTCTGTAGTATTATCCTGCAAGCTGGTGTTCCACAGTCCTAGAGTTGATAGAGCTCCAGTGAACCTTACTTAAAAATTTTTTAATAACTTGTGAAGTTAGTCTTTCCTTTGTAGTTTCCAGGATGAGGTTTACAGCTGGAGGAGCTCATTATCTAAGGGTTGCTTTACAGCAAGCAGAGATTTAGGTTAAGTACACTGGTGCTAAAATTGCAGGAACAAAGAGTCAAAGAGCAGAAAAACAAGAGGCAACTTTTACACACCACAGGCAGGAAGAGTCTGTGGATTAAGATTTTCATGAAGTAGAGAGAAGAGTGTAAAAGGAAGAGAGCCAGGAACAAGTCTGAAGATCTTATTAAAGACTGGAAGAAAGGGAAAAAAAGTATTCACTGAAGTGGTAGATAGTAATTGACTTGAAAGGGTAAAGAGCCAATACATCCTGTTGTCCGGCTTGTAGAAACAGAAGTTGTGGAGTCTCCATCCTTGGAGTTATTAAAAAGATGCCTGGACATGGCCCTGAGTGACTGTCTCCAGGTGGCCGTGCTTGAGCAGCTGGGTTGAACTAGATGACCTCCAGAAGTCCCGTCCAACCTCAAGCGTTCTGGTATAATCTCAGTTGAGTCCGGGGGTGGCTGTGTTTCACAACTGACTCTGCTGAATACTGCACCTTTTCCTGGTCTGAGCAGAACTTGTGCCTGTTTGACTGCAACCCGTCAAAGCTTCTTAGTAAGGTCCCCCAGGTACTGTCTGAGCCTCTGTGCCATCCACTTTGGAACAATAATTCCTGTGTATGGGTTCATTTTTGGAAGGGGAGAAAGCAACGGAGATGAGGGCACGTGCGAAGCTCAAAATAGTAGCCTCTCTCAAAACACAATGCCTGTAATTGGAGGCTCTGAGACGTTTGGTGATGGTTTGCAGGGAGTTCTTGTTTCAGAGGTGAAGGCTGTGGAAGTATGTTAGCCCGTGGTGAAAAAGCTTTCCCAATTCTTAGCCTGCTTCCATATTGTGTTTTTAAAATGTTGACTATGTTCTCAGTCCTAACTTGCCACATAGGTAATTCTAGCAGCAGCCACTTCTTTGTTGCATGAACGTGGGCTCTGGAGCAGAAACAGGGTGGAAGAGGTAGGAATTCGTAATCCCATTGCCCTGTTGTTTCTGCTTTTCTGCTCTGTTCTGTATTGTTGTTCTAAGTCTAGTATTGCATAAACATTTTTTTTTTTTGTATTTTGGGATTAGCTGCTTTCAAATACAAAATTATTTAGTCACCAAATTCTACTTTAGATCAAGAAAGCTGTATATAGTATTGCTTTAGCCATTCAGTAGCAATACTGTAACAGTAGGGGTTTTTTGTTTGATGCTGGCCTTTTCAAAATCATGCCAAGAACCCTCCTGTATCTGTGGCAGCACTGTGGGCTTCTTATTGTGCCCGAGTATTGCGGAGGTTATCACAAAAAACGTTAAGAAATCTATTGCCTGGGATTTTTGAAGTCACTTCAGTTCTTACATTTTTAGTTTGCTAGAAAGAGGGTGGAAGAGCAGTGCATAAGATCAGAATTAGGCGCAGATTATCTGTCTAATATGGTTTTCGTTAGCACAAATAATATGAACAGCGTTTGGAGAACAAACGGATTATGGAAAAAGAAATGAAAACATCCAGATCCTGAGCATTTGGAAAGCATGACACTGATGTATTTGTGTAACCTTTTCATGAAGAGCGATGCTGAAGTCAAAGAGGGGATTTTGATTTCCTTCATTAAAAGCTTATTAAATGAAGAAATAGGACAGTCGTTGTTTTGCTTCAATAGTTGGGGGTCACAGAGGCGGGCCTGATCTCCTCGGAATATTAATGCCTGCTTTCAGCTGGGGGAAATGAGCCGTCGCCTGAGTTAGCTGCAGCTTTATGTGCTCGTCACTAGGGCTCCCCATATGTCCTGGGATCTGCGGCAGCCGGCGATGGCAGAGCTGGGCGGCGGGGAGCAGAGGGCTCTCATTGCTATTCAGAACAGGTAGCTCGGCTCAATCTGCCCAGAGCAAGTCTGTTTAATGTTGATCAGCTGTCCGTCTGATAAACCCGACCGATACGGACATTTCCTCCAAGGGCTGCCCTGACAATGACAGCCAGAGCATCGGGTTGTCTTGTTAGTCTTTTTTTCCGAGCTTGAAATTTTATTAACCCTTTGTTAGAGCCGAGCCAAGCATGGTTGCGGTACTGCAGCTGTAGGGTTTTGTGCATTTCTCTCTCTTTGAAAAAGAGCATCAACCTTTGATTTTGTTGTCTGCATGGAGAATGGCCAGCTGTTTTGTTTTCAGATTGTTTTTCTTCTATGTGGAGCAATAATTGTGAATTATAAAGGCAACTTTTAAAGCAGCGTAGTCTTTTTTGTGTCTAACAAAATACGTTGGGTACCTTTATTTATCCTCTCCCTCAGCTCACTTACCATTTGCCTGCCTGGCCAGGCTACGTGACTCTGCTAGCACTTCTCTCTTGCTAATTGGCACAGATAACTGGTCCGAAAGAGTTGCTGCTGGGGCTCTTTGCAGGTCACATATATTTGGGGCAGAAGGTTACTTTAGATTAATATCGCTCGTGGTCGGTGCAACACATCTGCACTGTCCAGAAGAAATGGTATTAATTTACTCATACTGAGGCAGAATCTAACCTGAGCGTATATCAGCAGGTGTATGTGAAAATATGGAGCAGTTTGGTTGCTCAGTCAATCGGTACTTGGCAACTTTTGAACAAGCACGAGGAGCGTAACGTGCCTTTGTATTCTGGGTTGCAGTTTAATTTGAAGTTTAAACCCTTTTAGTCATCTGTCTGGCTGAGGGCATGTGTAGTATTTTTGCTCGTGCGTGAAATCTCCATGGCATAAAGGGAACTAACTGCTTGAATCAGAAAAGATGAGAATGTGCTGAAGATTTCATAAAGGGCGGGGGCTGTGTGTATCTAGGTTTGCAGTGTTAAGAGCTGTGGTGCGTTGCCGTGTGCCCCCCTCCCCTTGCCCCTGCTCAGTTATTAATGTCTGCTCATCACCCTGTTGTAATTCTGAGCTAAGGTGACATCCTTGAGCTCCTTAGAGTGACGGGGACTGCAGGGTTGAATTGCAGGAGGAGGGCTGTGCTAATGACTATTTTCATGCCTTCTTCCATAAAATGAAAATAAATAGAAGACAGGCCTCTGGGGTAACCTCTCACAGGGTGGCAAGCCTCTCACAGGGATTTGAAACCCCTAAATTCAGAGTGTAGCAAATAGTGTGTTGGAATAAGAAGTGATTTGTAAACCCATCCAAACAAAACTGTGTCCGCTCCTTTGCTGGAAAATCACCTCTGCTTTTTCTGACTAAAACAACCAGTGAAACATCATTAGTACACAGTTCTGAAATGTTCAGCTCTTTTTCCTCTCCCTCCTGTGCCCTCCCCCCTTGATATGATTGAACTGCAAGGTATCCTGTTATTAATTTACCTCTAATTCGAGCAATCATTGACTGTAGCATTTTCATGGTGTTCGCATCAGCTTGCTCGAGACTCCCCTGCTGATACGTCCTTTGTTCCCTCCCATCAGTACTTTCTGCTTGGCATTTTCTTCATGTTAGTGTCCCTCAAGCGCCTAGAAAACAAAACAAAAAAAAGCAAGCAGCATGAGGACAGTATTGATTGCTTAGCTTTATTTTGGGAAATAATTCAAACAAAGGGCAGCATTCCTCCAAATGGAACCTGTGGTACCTGTGCTTACCTGGAAGTACCTAGTGATAGTTCCTTGTGCTTAACACTTCCCTGTTGTGGCTTTTAGAAGTACGTAGAAGACATACATGATCCTTCATAAAATATCTGTTTAGCACATGTGGCTGTGGTTTTGGTGGGTTTTTTTTACTCCTAAGAATCTGTATTTTATTCATAGCATTCAAAAATAATTGTGCTTTTTCTTTGCTTTCAGTCAAAGAAGTCTGGCTGAGATTACTGAACTGATCCACACTGCCTTTCTGGTGCATCGTGGCATAGTGAACATCGGTGAGCTCAAGTCGTGCGACGGCCCGCTGAAGGATATGCAGTTTGGAAATAAAATGGCTGTTTTGAGTGGAGATTTTCTTCTCGCAAATGCTTGTACAAGCCTTGCGCAGTTACAAAATACCAAGGTAAACAAGAAAAAAATTCATCTAATGCCAGAGCAAGTAACTGTTAGTGAATCTTCTGAAAGAGAGGAAGCTCTCTAAAAGATCAGCAGTTGTGATACGTTATGTATGTATGGGGCAACCTTTAAAAATCAGCATACTTAGCTCATAGCTGTAGATGGATTGAGGGGCTGCTGCTGCAGACATGTTTACTGCTGTCCTGTAGAATTCCTGTTTTGAGACCTTTAGTAACATTCTGAAGCATCGTGGTATTGGATGAGTGTTTAATTTGGTGGATTTAACGTACATGCAGCAGCATCCTCATGACATGTCAGATGACCACACCTCTTGCAGACTTCCAGCTGCAGACTGTTTGGTTTGTTGTTTTGTTTTTTACCTTGTCCTTTGTGAAAGGTTTGTCTCTCTTAAGGAATTCTTGGGGGAAGAAGCTTAATTTCTTTTTCTACACAGTGCTCGGGTGACTTTTTACTCTTAATAAAATTACTTTGTCAGACATTTGGATGCCCCTGAGTATTGGATTGCCCTATTAACGTGGATGTACTGACTTCTAAAGGGCAGCTGCAATCCAGCTGCTCAGCCAAACTGTTTGAAACTTTACAGGGAAATGTTTTTGTGACAAATGAATTATATATATGTATGAACTTAGAAAATTAGAATGATGGAGACCTTAGGAGATCCTCTCTCCAGTCGGTGGTCTTTTCCCCAGGTAGGATCAGCTACATCAAATCATTATTGACATGTGTTTTTCGAGCTTGTTCTTCAAACCTCCCGTGGTGGAGAGAGATTCCTGGGCATCCCTGTGCCAGTCTAGTGTAACACTTGACTACATGTGAGGCTGAAAGAGCTTAGTGTGCCATTCCACTGGAAACAGAAAACAGATCTTTTTGCAGGGGTACTTTTTGTATGTCTGAAAATTGCTGCCATATCACAATGTAAAACAAATGTTTGTCATGCACGCAACTGTCAATAGTCAACATGGGTTTGATCCTGAGCTTAAGGAGACCATTGTTTTTAGATTCTCATGCTAAAGCTTTTCAAGATGGTAGTTGAGTATTTTTGTACTGCTTTGATCATGGCGTGACAGTTTCTCTCAAAAGTGGTGTCATTTTGTAACAGAGAGCTGAGATTCAGGAGAAGAAATGGAAAATTAGATGTCAATCTGCTGTAACAGTGGGTTAAGCCATTATGGTGATAACTGGTACTAAGAATTTTTTAAAAAGTTTTGAATAGTGAAAAGAAATTAGTCATGCCCTAGTAGGGTGCGATTGATTTTACTAATTATTATTGATCTCTATCTTTTTTTTTTTGGTTTGGTACTGAGTAAGATTCTCAAGACAGACCAAAGGATTTAACCCTACATCATTATTTTTTGTTTCAGTGTAAGAGGAAACATTTTATAAAATGTAGCACCTATTACTTTGCATTTAGTGCATCATTAAGTATTGCAGCTGCAATGTATAATCCCTGAAGACTTGCCAGGAAACAAGCCTACAGTGAAATGAAGCACAAGTGCAGAGAAACACTTTTTTTTTTTTCTAAAAAAAAAAAAAAAAAGCAATCATTATACTGCATGTCGGAAAGTTCTGCCAAAACATTTTAGCACTTTTTTTCATTTTTCTGACATCTAAATACTTTCATAGCTTCTACATACGATAAGTGGGATGCCATTATGGAAACTGATTGACTTAGTAAATTATTCTTTTTCATACGTCTAACCGTACTAGCAAAGTTAGAAAAATTGAAGTACAAGCTATAGAAATCTCTTGACAGGTGCAATGATTTAAACATACTGTATTTATTCTTTTGTAAGTGATGAATTTTCAAATCTGGCATCTGTTTTTCAGCAGTGTGAAATAACTGTGACTTTTTTCCTTCATAGTGTTTTGTTTTCTTTCATGGGAAAAGTAAAAACCACAGCACTGCTTTTTCGCTGGCATTTATTTGGTAGCTCAGCAAGCTGGCTAATGCAGTGAGCAGCGTTACACGGCGCACGGTACTCACCATGATAAGCTGTAACCTCTGTAGATATGCATAGCTGCTGTATAGACTGGAAATTAAGCTAAAGGGGGGGTTGGCATTAACCGAAACCACTGCTACCCAGATAATTTTATTGTGCTGTTAAACTCTTGTCTGAGCTTGTGTATGATGCATTTAGCTCTGTGCTTCTCTCGAGGCTGACAATTAGATGTGAAATTCTGTAGTCGTAATGAAATGCAGAGCTATTTTATAATTGCCAAGGGTAAAATTAGCAAAGTCAATTATTTTCCCTTAGGCTTTTCCCTGTAGATATTAAAAGACTGCAAGGTAATTGCCTTAGGTAACACTTTGATTTTTAAATAACATTAAATATAGGAATTGTTGTCGTTAATTCATAGTAATTTTCCTCTTCTTGCTACTGTTGTAGAATGTAACTGTAATGATGTTAACGAGATTCAAGGCTCGGGGTTGGGGGTTTCTTTTAAACTAGTGCTCATACTTCTTGCATGTTTGCTATATTTATGCAAAAGAAGGGTTTGGGTGGTGTTTCAGGTTGGTTGTTTTTTTTTAAATATGAGGTACAAGGACTCTAGATTTCTTGAAATGTCAGCTAGGCAGCCTCCTGTGAGATAAATTCTGCCGTTGTGCTATGACAGGGAGGTTGGATTAAATGATCTCTAAGGTCCCTTCCAGCCTAGGCCATTCTATGATTCTATGATAAAGACATCTAAAATTTTGAACGGGTAATAATTCAGAAGAAAGCATTCTCATTTTCTTTGTGAAATTATAAGACGTTAATTATGTTTACAGTATATAGTATGGAAGGGCAGATGCAACTGCAGGCTACGTTTTTGTAGTCATAGCAAAGTTCTACATTTATTCAGGTGATAAAAACTGTTTAACAATCATGTCTTCAAAAAACTTAGAGCTACAACACATTAAACTGATCACATCACATGCATATACAATTCTTCTGTACTTTCATGTTAACTTTTTGATCACCTTATCAAAACTATTCCTTTTTTGTCTACATTATATTTTGCATGGGGGGTTTTCTTAGCCTGCTGATAGCGGTGATAAATTATGTTATTGATTGAAGAGGATATGGATAAAACCTTTCTTCAGAACCGTATCCTTTACTAGATTGGACATTGCAAATCCAAGGGCTTTGGAACAAAACTGAGGCTAAAGATGAATTGGGTTGGGATCTTGTTGTGGAGTATCAGCAGTGGGTTTAGGAATGGTGATGAGCCTTTGGCAAGGAGGAAGGGTGTGCTTGGGTTTTGCTAGTTAAATAACAACAGAGTCATGCCTGGTTGTGTGCTGATTTATTGGATTAGGGTGTGTTTATATGGGTTGATGGCATTAGTTTGATGGGTTTTCTCATTTTGAGATTGTGGTGTTGATACTAGGATTGTGGTTAAAGTCATCGCAAACATGTAGATGTGCGAGAGGTGGAAAGGTAAATAAGGTACCTCCCAACTGTCTTGTAGGATATGTGACCATCTCCGGTTTTAAATAAATATTGTGAAGAATTTTTTACAAATTATGAAAGGATATATTTAATGGCTGATTCCTTGTTGCTGCCTGAAGGTAGTATATCATTTGTTACCTCATTTTGCCTAGCTGTGGGTATGGGAATGAAACCGCTAACAGCAAGCTTTGTGCACGGAATTCTTTCCTTGACCCAGTAGTAGCAAAAAGCATTAGGGTTGGGGGGTTTTGGTGTGGTTTTTTTGTTGTTGTTTTTTTTTCTTTTTAAGCAATCTTCACGTAATATTTTTAGGGTGCCGTTCACATGTGAACATAGCAAAAGTAACAAGCATTAATTCTCATTTTTGTCACCTGTCAACCAGAAACATGATATGGACATATTAACGCAGGTGATGTATGACTACTAACCATGATATTATTGAATAATATGCTTTTTCAGAGTGTATCACAGATAAGTTGGAAGAAATGTGTTGTACCATTAAAGCAGGACCTTCCTAGAGCATCTGAATCATCAGTTATCTTCTAAAGCTATGGAGAGGGTGCATAAAAGATGTAATTGTGACTAGTGTTTATCCTCCCACACTGAACGTGGTGGTACATACAATTTCAGAAGGATGAAATGATGCATTTTAGTGCAGTGCCTACTGTAATGTGCTGATGACTGAAGAAAATAATCTGTAAATACACTGCTTGCAACCCTGTATACTGATAGGAAGGCATCCCTTTGTAGTTAACAAAGCCTCGCAAATAAATCAAGCAACCAACAACTGAATCACCAAAGCCGGACATATCCAAAACGAAAAATAAACTACCTAGAAAAAGAAGGAGGGAAAGAAAGAAAAGCCTAGCTATACGTGTAATGGTAGCCTTCTCTGTAGTTCATACTGAAATCTCACTGAATGACTCTATTTTTCCCACTATAATTCAGTGAGCTCTTGTTGGAGTGATTGAACTGTTCACAGAAGCACTTCAAAATCTGCAGCATGAAAGCTTGGAATTGAATTTAAGAATCTTGTCTGTCAATGCAGAACTCTGCCAGAAGACCACATTATAGAGCATTGTTTTATTAAGCATTATCTGTTTATAAATAAACAGTAGCACAGATGTAGTACTTATATAGTAGATGCTTTTCCTTATGTTAAGTTTATGTATTCCTAAAGGCATAAATGTGTTGTTTACAAAATAGGCCTTGTGTTTGCATAAACATCAACAAGTTGTTCCTGTAAGTCTTGCTATGTCTTCCTGTAGCGACAATCTGAATGTACATTGTGCTTCATAGAAGAGCTGCTTATCCTGAACTATGATTTCTACTTCTGTAGCATCAGTTCTGGTCCTATGGGGAAGGCTCAGTTTTGAAGTTGAGAGACTTGGTTTCCTACTGACCAGTGAAGGATATGGAGAGTATCTCCTTTCTGAGACGATGACAGTTACTTTTTTGATGTGAATTCACATTTTTTGAGAGTTGACAGACAAGTCAGCTAGAACCTACAATTTTAATTTTTAAATGTCACTTAAGAAAGGTGGTATTTGTG